CACTATATGACTCTGCGTCCTTCCACTGCTCCACTGCGTGTCCCTCTGCCGTCTCCTCCTGCGTCCTCTCTTCCTGTTCTTGCTGACCCGGAGTCTGACTCTCTTCGTGCTGCCAGTCCTATTGTCACACGTCTCCTTGCCACTGTTGTGACTGACCCTTCCTTCGAGTCCTCTGCTGCGTCTGCTCTAGTCGCTGAGCTTGTTGACTTTGCTGCCGCCTGTCGTCTAGACTACGCCGCTAGCCTTGTTGCTGAGTCTGAGTCTGTCTGTCCTCCGTCCGTCGGGGGTGAGTGTGCTCTTGGCACGGACGTCCTTGAGGACAGACAGGAGGAATTTGAGTGCTTTGCCACTGCTTTGCCTCATCTCGTGTCCATGCTAGTTGCCCCTGAGGGAGACCCGGATGCACCAGACATCCCGACCCCACGCTCCTACGCAGAGGCGATGGAGGGTCTCTACTCCTCTCAGTCGCAGACAGCCATGGACGCAGAGATGGCTTCCTGGAAATCCACAGGCACCTACGTCGACGAGGTTCCCCCACCTGGGGCGAACATCGTCAGTGGCATGTGGATTTTCAGGGTGAAGCGGCCGCCGGGTTCTCCGCCTGTCTTCAAGGCGCGTTACGTTGCACGAGGCTTCAGTCAGCGAGAGGGAGTTGACTTCTTCCAGACCTTCTCCCCGACCCCGAAGATGACCACTCTTCGGGTTCTGCTACACGTCGCCGCTCAGCGTGACTACGAGCTCCACTCTCTTGACTTCAGCACTGCGTTCCTACAGGGCAGCCTGCACGAGGAGATCTGGCTGCGCCGCCCACCTGGCTTCACTGGGTCGTTCCCTCCTGGTACCCAGTGGAGCCTCCGGCGGCCAGTCTACGGTCTCCGCCAGGCACCCCGTGAGTGGCACGACACACTGAGGACTACGCTTGCGGCTCTTGGGTTTGCTCCTTCTACTGCTGACCCGTCGCTGTTTCTACGCACCGACACCACTCTGCCGCCGTTCTACGTTCTCGTGTACGTCGACGACTTGGTCTTTGCTACTGCTGACACTGAGGCACTCGCCCACGTGAAGTCGGAGCTGCAGAAGAGACACACGTGCACAGACCTGGGTGAACTGACAAGCTATCTTGGCTTGCGGATCACCCGGGACAGAGCACAGCGCACCATCACCTTGACTCAGTCACACATGGTGCAGCAGGTCCTTCAACGCTTCGGCTTCACGTACTCCTCGCCTCAGCCCACTCCTCTGCCTACCGGTCACTCGCTCTCAGCTCTGCCTTCGGATGAGTCCGTAGAGCCGAGTGGCCCGTATCCAGAGCTTGTGGGCTGCCTCATGTACCTGATGACCTGCACTAGACCTGACCTTGCATACCCTCTTAGCATCCTAGCATGCTATGTCGCTCCTGGCCGTCACCGGAAGGAGCACATGGATGCCGCTAAGAGGGTGTTGCGTTACCTGTGCAGTAAGTCGGGCATGGGGCTTGTGCTTGGAGGACGGCGCGACGTTGTCCTCACTGGACACTCAGACGCTTCTTGGGCTGACGACCAGGCTACGCAGCGGTCGTCTCAGGGTTACACCTTCAGCCTTGGCTCTGGCTCTGTTTCCTGGCGTTCTACACGCTCTTCTTCTGTTCTCAGCTCCAGTTGTGAGGCTGAGATCTACGCCACAGCCATGGCGGCCCAGGAGCTACGCTGGCTCACCTACCTGCTGACCAACCTTGGAGAGCGGCCTCGTTCTCCTCCAGTGCTGTACGTCGACAACAAGGCAGCCATTGCCTTGTGTGAGGAGCACAGACTGGAGCACAGAACGAAGCACATCGCTCTGCGCTACTTCCTAGCGCGAGAGCTGCAGCAGAGGGGTCAGCTTCGTCTCTCGTACGTGGCCACTCGGGCCAACACTGCTGATGTGTTCACCAAGGCGCTTCAGCCTTGTGATCATCAGCGTTTCTGTACTGTTCTAGGCCTTGTGCCTACTCTCCCTCACTTGCTCACTTCTTGACTCTGCTTGTACTATGATCTCTATATATATACCTGCATGCTTACACTTGCTAGGTTGTGATCACTGTACCTCTTGTTCTATTATCAAACTGCATGTGAACTGGTCTTGTGACCATTTGCTTGTGCTCGGAATTTGTGTGGTATCCTTGAGATCCACCCTGAGCTTGTCTTGCTTTGTTTTGCTTTGACTGGTCTTGTGACCACTTGCTCTCCCCCACTTAGACTATGGGGGTGTGTCAAACATTATATATGTTGTATTTGTGTAGGCTACAGTGGGTTAGCCTTTAGGGGGTACACAATTCTAGGGTTAGGTACTTGTACTCCCTTGTAGTCCAACACTTCTTCTTTCTAACAATCTGTGCTCGTCTAAAACCTTAAACACTGCTTCCAGATCTGCTAAGTGCTGCTGCTTATCCCGACTGTACACTAGAATGTCGTCGAGGTAAACTATTACACATTTATCCAAGAGCGGCCTAAATGCCTCGTTCATGGTCATCTGAAAAGTCGCCGGTGCGTTGGTCAGCCCGAATGGCATCACAGTGTACTCGAATGACCCGTACCTAGTCCTGAAAGCTGTTTTGGCGCAGTCCGATGGTTCGACCCTAATCTGATGGTAACCTCCCCGTAAATCTATTTTCGAAAAAACCCGTGCTGTTCGCAGTTGGTCGATCAGTTCGTCGGCGCGGGGAATGGGGTACCGCGACTTGACTGTTACCCTGTTCAGTGCTCTGTAGTCGATACACATGCGAAACCCCCCGTCTTTTTTCGGCGTGAATAGTATCGGTGCGGCGAATGGTGACGAGCTCGGTCTGATGAATTTTTTCTCTAACAGGTAATCTAACTGCTTCCTTAGTTCGTCGAGCTCGGGTTGTGTCAGTCTGAACTGGCGCTGTACGGTTGGCTGTGCCCCCGGTTCTAATTCGATTCGGTGGTCATGTGCTCGCTGAGGTGGCAGTCCTTCCGGTAAGTCGTCGGGGAAAATCCCGGGGTATCGTTTCAACAGTTCCTGTAATTCGGGCGGTACGGCTGCCAGCAGTTTCTTGAAATCACTCGGCTGCTCTGCTTCCTCTACTACTGCGATGTCTACTGCGTACACGTCAGCTCCAGCAGCGACAGCCCGTTTCATTGTGATGGCGTTGACGTGTACCGTTGAAGACTCGGGCGACTGCCAGCGAGGTAGCTCGACCCAGTTACCACTACTTTGCACGGTGCAGCTACCCGTCGTCCAGTCAATTCGCGGGTTATACCGTCGCAGCCAATCACGTCCCAGTAAAATATCGTGCCCATCCAGTGTCGTTGCGAGCATTTCCTGTGTAAACCCGAAATTTCCCCCGCAGCGGACTTTGACTCTCTCTACCTTTTCCCGTATGGCCAGTGGCGTGCCGTCGACTATGCGTGCGTCTATCTCCGGTAAGCAACGGCTAAGTGTCAGCTGCAGTTTTCGTGCTGTTGCGGTATTAACTAAACTGTGGCTTGCTCCTCCGTCGATAAAAATCTTCACTGCTGCTCCCTGTATTTTCCCGTGGATCAGTACTGGGCAATCCGTCGCTGTACCCTCCTTATTCGTCCGAGTCCGATCGATAGCATGAATCGGTACTGTGACTCGGTGAGGGTCGGTGGGGTTGGGCGAGCAGGCAGTCTCGTCAGTAGTTGGCCCGATTCCTACTGACTGCTGGCGTTTCCCTGCTTTGGAGACTCCCTCCCCTGCTCTGCTCCGCGGCGCCTTAGCTCCTCTGGGCATTCGCTCTTGCGATGGCCCGGCCTGTTGCAAGCAAAGCAGCGCCCCTTAAACGGCGCGGCAGCTGCATTCGTCGCAACAGCGTGTACAGTGGCGTGCTCGATCGGTCCCCGAGGACGATGTCCATAGTAGGACCCCGGTCTCGGACGGCGTAAAATGTCGATTTTCTCGGCGAGCGCGAGAATCTCGTTGAAGTTCGAGAGCCCGCGTAGCATGATTTCGTGCGAGATGTCCGGCTTCAGCCCTCCGACGTAACGGTCCACCCGCTCCGCTTCGTGCATGTAGCCGACTTGCTCGCATAATGCGAGAAAACCACTCGTATAGTCTTGAACCGATCCAAGCTGCCGCCAAGTGCGCAATCTCTGACGCGCCGAAATAGAAGCCGCGATCGGCTCGAAGCGCGCCCGAAACCCTGCGCACCACGCATCCCACGTGCTGTATTGGGCGGTCTCGCAGAATGAACTCCAGGTGACAGCTGGGCCCGTGGGCCCTTCCTCTTGCGACGGTGGCTCGTAGGCGCGTGGCGACGTCACGATGACTCGCCGCCAATCCATGGCGGGACCCCTTAGCAGCGAAACGGCATACCGAATCTTCGCTGCGTCCGACTCGACGTAATTCGCGTCGAAGAAGACGTTCATCGTGAAGACCCACGATTGAACCGTCGGACCTCCACGCATGAGCGAAGAATATATAGCGAAACTACAGTGGTAACGGTAATGGACTGTGGTTGTCGCGCGACGGGCCTGGGACTGAGGTTGGGAAAAAGTGTCGAAGCGGAGGCCCGGAGCGCGGGTTACCCGCCGAGCCGTGAGGTCGGGGTGCGATGTGCGAAGGTGGCGGGCGGATTGTCGATGCGAGGGTTGCGAGTGGTAATGGTGCTGACTGTGGTGCTACAATGATGTACGCGTTGGAGCAGGGATGCGAAGTAAGGAAAAGGAATTTTCCTTACACAACACCTACATATGATCATCTTAGACTCCAAAATAGAACACACCGTAAGTACTTTCCATTGGTTTTCATGAGGGTTTCACTAAGTCTGGGCACACCTCCCCTGATGGTTCCCAGTAAAACGGAAACCATGTGAAGTAAGTTCTGTTCAGATGCGAGCTGTAGCTTGTACAATACAAGTATTGCTGTTTATGTTGTTGTGGTGATGATAATAGGAGAATCCTTTTCCTTGCAGGACCCTCCTCTTCCCACTCTTCCTGTTTTCTAACACTTTGCCTAGCCTACGCTACCCTCAATCCACTGCACTGCACCGCACTGCACACCTACGACTGCACAGACAGCCGTTGCAGATGCTCCATGAAAACCTGCAGTGATACGTCATCTGTGAGAATGACCTCTCCCCCGGGCACTGCTGACGCGCTGTTGTATGTTGCCGACGGGTTCAGCTTCGCCAGTAGGAACCGGGCCTGTACCGAGGCGCGGGTGCAACAAGCAGGGGCATTTGAACATGGTTAATTGGCCTGCATGTATCCTCGACATGTGCACACTAGGGATGCGGGAGCAATGACGGTAAATATGCGCATGTGCAATGAATTTAGGCACCACTAAATGCACACACACCAGACACTCCTGTCCGCAGATATGGACACCCCTCTTCCCGGGCATCCACTTACCCCCCTGCACCTCCATCCCGACGTTTCCGCACCCTCCCCTCTCCCTTACCCACTCCAGTCTTACCTTTTCCTTCCCCTTCCCGTTCCCCCTCTCCTCTCCCCTCTCTCACTCCCCCCCCCCCCCCCCATCTTCCCCCCCTCCTTCCTCTCCCCTCCCACGCCGTACCTGGCTGCCATTCTGGTCGCAGTCCACGAGTCGTGGCACGGGGAACCGCTCTGCTATGATGGCCGCTGCGTCCGCTTGCGGCGCCTGTAGCAGCTGCGCAAAGGCCTGCAGCAGTGGGAGAATTGGGGAGGGGGGCGCAAGCGGAGCAGAGAAGCACGGGAACCACAGGAGAGCAGGTCAGTAGGGAGACAGCGATGGATTGCAAGAGGAGGGGGTTATTGAGATGTCATAGCCCGGGCTCGCGATATCACTGGAAACAGGCAGGTGGGGAAAATCAGGTGTGGTTGAGTGTGCATGTGCGTGTGTGGGCTTGGTCATGCCAGAAGTGGTAATGGGGAAGGAGGATAACAAACGAGAGCAGATACATGGGGAGGAGGAGCTGGGGTGGGTGGGTGAGCGGGTGGGGGAGGTTTGTGGGGGTGAAGGGAGAGGCTGGGGGGATGGAGGGGGCGAAAAATAAGAAAAGAAACGAAAAGAGAAGAAAGAAGAAAAAATATCTTCCTCTAATTGTCCTCCGACCCACCTGGTGCTCGGGTTGGTTGTGGTAACCAGCATTGCGCCACTGAGCAATGGTGGAGCCATGGAAGATGACGACGGAGAAGAATGCATCGAGCAGCAGGATGCGGTCCACTGCGATGGCTGCCACGTCCAGCAGCGCCGGCTCTGGCGGCGAGTTGAACGAGTACGCTGTCAGCGTGGGCTGCGGGGAGGGGGGTGGAGAGGAGGAAGGGGGGAGTGGAGTGGGTGTAAGGAAACGGTCCTCTCTCGAACAGACCTTGTCACTGGAACAGCGTGAACGGTATGCGAGGCAAATGCAAGCATATGAGGGAGTTGAGTTGAGCACATGCGTGCATGCATGCATGCAGTTGTCGAAGGCGATTATTACCTGGATCATGACTAGGGAGTTGAGCACGCTCTCTCTGTTGAGCACCATTCGGAAATACGCCGTCTCGTCTGGACTGCTGCCAAACACCTGGCTCCATCACATCACATGCACGCGAGCGATGCAACGTTGCACGAGTGGGGCGGGATGGGATGGGCCAACACGGTCAAATGCAGGTGCATAGAACGAAGAGAGTGATGAGCATTTCGGAGCAATCAACAGTGCCCAAGGGGCCACTGCATGAGCTTACGAGAATCGCATGGTCATTAATTACACACCAGCATCCCCTTACAAAAGTGCCCTTGACTTGGCACTAGCTGTTTTCAGGGCACCTAACAGAACTAACACCCGCACACCACCACAAAAAAGCGTTTAAGAAACACCATACCAGACAGCAGCAGCACACGCACTGCAAGCGGCGCAGGTTGAAGAGAAACTGCAGGAAGAGCGAGAGGTTGGTTTCTTCGTGCTGAACGCATCTACCAATGTATGTTTTTTTTAATTCTAAAAAAACATACTCTTCGTGCTGAACGCATATACCAACTGAGTTGTGTTGAATGTTGATGCAAGCAAGGACTTTGCCGCAGCCCCCACCTGTCCACCTTGCACAACAACCCCACGCACATGCACACGAACGCACCTGCACGAACTGCGAGCGGCGCAGGTTGAAGAGGAACTGCGGGACGAGCTAGAGGTTGGTTGGCTTCTTTGTCCCGAATGCCCACCTACCTAGCAGCACCCATTGAGTTGTCTTGCTCCAAGTCAGGCCTCAGCAGCCCACCTGCCTGGGCAACTTGAAGAGGCAAGCGCACGCACGCACCTGCACAAACTGCGAGCGGCGCAGGTTGAAGAGGAACTGCGGGAAGAGCGAGAGGTTGGGCGAGAGGCAGAAGGAGGCAGGGTCGTCCTTGCGGTAGTCCCCAAACTTATTGCACACACGGATCAGCAGCCGGTCCAGCCACCTCGTGGCGTCAAACTCCTCCTGAGAGAGAGGCGAGAGGAGGAGAGAGTGGATGGGGGGAAGGGGGAGGGGAGGAAGGGTGGGGGGAGATCGTTAAGACATCATACTGTCTCGAAAAGCAGAAATTGTTGCACACGCGAATCAGCAGCCGGTCAGTCCAGCCACCGTGTGGCGTCAAACTCCTCTTACTTTCCCCCCTCACCTCAGTCTCCATCTTGAATCCCGTGATTCTGGCAACCACAGCAGCAGCAGTCTCCTGGTCAAAGCCCACCACAAAGTCGCCTGAGAAATCACCTCACCCCCTCTGACAACAAGCCACCTCCCCCAATCCCCCACCTCAGTCTCCATCTTAAAGCCGGTGATTCTGGCGACCACAGCAGCAGCGGCCTCCTGGTCGAAGCCCGCCACCAGGTCGCCTGAGCTCGCGCCCTCCACCCACCGCCGCGTGATGCTTGTCACTCGAAACCGCGTCTCCCCCGACGGGTGCTGGTAGCTGGGACATGCGCGGGGGGGGGGGGTGGGGTGTGGGGGGGAGGGAGGAGGGAAGGGAAGGGGAGGGAAGAGGATGGAAGGGGAGGGGAGAGGGAAGGGGAGAGAGAAGTGATGTGCCTTCTCCAATGGTTGCAGAGGCATAGGGAAGCCAAGGGGGTTTCTACAAAGGACAGGGAGGCAGTCTTGAACCAAAGTGGGGAAAGGGGAGGGGATGCGTGGGAGACAGGCGCACGCAATGTACATAACCATGATCTTTTTTCACCCACCCTAAACCTCTCCTTGACCATTTCCTTCCGCCCTGTTCAGCGACTGTACCCGTTGTAGTGTGCTCTCACCCACACATGTCCCCCTCCCTCCCCCCCACCCTGTAACTCACGACGTGGTGAACTGCAGGTGGAACTGCTTTTGCTGCAGGGTTCTGGTTATGAGAAAATGCAAAACTGCTCACTCACGACTTTTGAGACGTCTTACAAGTGCTCACTCACGAGGTGGTGAACTGCAGGTGGAACTCCTGTGGGGCGTTTGTGCCACTTCTGAAATATCTCCCCAGTGAAAAAAAAAAAAAAAAAAGAGCACACCCTCCCTTCCTCACTCACGAGGTGGTGAACTGCAGGTGGAACTGCTGTGCTCCAGGGTTCTGCAAGCCCTGTGCGGCTGCCTGCTGCTGCGCCTGCTGCTGCTGTGCCGGCACGATCTCAAAGAGCACTGCGAGGGAAGTGCACACGTCCAGCCCACACAGCTTCCACGCCGTTGTGTGCCCCTGCCCTATCGCCACATCTGATGTCAATGGCCCTTTCTGCAGCGAGAAAGGGGACGGACGAGAGGGGGAAGAGGCGGGGAAGAGGGGGGCGAGGCGGAGGGACTTTTGAGACGAGTCATAAGTCCAGCCCACACAGCTCCCACGCCCTACCGCCACGTCTGATGTCAATGGCCGTTTCTGCAGCCACGAACGGGGCGCGTGAAGGGGGAGGAGGGGGGAGAGTCGGGGGAGGCTTGGCCTGCGTTTCCTGGCGTGGTGTGACGTGGCACCGCATGTCTAACAGTTTATGGTACGTGCATGAGACATGAGAGACATGGGCCAGGAGATGCGGCATGGGGCAGGCAGGGCATGGGGGGTCGGGCACACAGCATGTGGCACAAAGGATGCGGCACGTACTCTGTCAAGCGAGGAGCAGGGCCCGATGGCCCCCTGCACCTTGATGTCCTTGGAGCAGTGCACCTCGAATATGCCACTGCTCTCACACACACGCACAACAATGGCGCAGGGAAGGGAGGGGAAGGAGAAGGGTACGGGGAAAGGGAAGGGACAGGGGAATGGAAAGGGGAAGGGGCAGGGGCAGGGGAAGGGCAAGGGGATTGGGAAGGGGAAAAAGGTGGGAGAAGGGGAGATTTTAGGGCTGCTCGTACAGCAAGCCATGAATCAAAGACTATACGAGCAGCCCCAAAACTGACAGCGGCAGAGCAAGCACCACTTGGCGCTCATCTTGCAAACTGACTCTACAGGCACTAACAGCAGCGTCTGGCCTCTTGGACAAGGCCGGGTCAGCCAAGTTAGTCAAACCGGATCGACGACAGAAGTTGGAGGCTGCGCATCAGAGGTTTGATTTCAAGAGAGGCTGACTTGAAGGAGAGGCCGAGGGAGGTATCGCCGGTGTCGAAGACCCTCTTGAGCGAGTCCTTAAATACTGGATGGCCAAAGCTCTCCGATAGCACGACCAGCCCGCCTGACTTCTCCACCGCCACCTTCATCTCCGCTATGCCCACCTGGTGGGGAGGAGAGGGGGAGAGGGGAGAGGAGGTGGGATTGGGTTAATGGGGGTGTGATCAGTTGAGGAGAGGTGGCCACCACCAGTCCGCCTGAATTCTCCACCGCCACCTTCATCTCCGCTATGTCCACCTGAGGTGGGGCAGAGAGGGACGAGAGGGGCAAAGAAGAGATGCGAGAGGGAGAAAATGAGGGGGAGGGAAAGGGGGAGGAAGGACAGGGGATCGGGAGGGGAGGGGAGGGATGCGGAGTTGGGTAGGGAGGAGGGGGAGAGCAGGGGGGAGAGGAAGGTGGAAGAACGGTTAGTGAGGTGGCAGTGGGGTGAAAGGGGGTGTGATCCGGTGATGACAAGATGGTGCATAGAGGGAATACGTGTGCGAGGATATTTGAGGCAGTACGGCAGAGGAGAGGAGACAGGGACGAGGAGAAAGAGAGGAGGCAGAGACGAGGAGGGAAAGAGGCACGGGGGAGGAGGCACAGAGGAAACGGGAGAGAAGAGGAGGGACAGGGGAGCGAGCGAGGGGCACCTGGTCGAGTGCAGAGGAGAAGAGGTCAAGCACGTGGCCCTGAGCCACGAGCTGCTTGAAACGAGACGACCTTTTGAGGCTCCTGAAAAACAGCACGCAGCACCTGTCACCTCGCTAACGCACCCACCCACCCACCTGGTCGAGCGCGGAGGAGAAGAGGTCGAGCACGTGGCCCTGGGCGACGAGCTGCTTGGCGAGCCCGTCATAGAACTTCACGGCCTTGCTGTAGTGCACCACTGCGTCCTTGTCCAGGTCCTTGTGCGACCGTATCGGCTCCGATAGATCCCGCCCCACTATCTGTGCGTGGGGGTGGGGGGCGGGAGGGGGAGATGGGGGAAGGGATGGGGAGGGAGGGAGCGGAGCAGGCGAAGGGATTAGATAAGGTAGGGGGAAGGCGGGGCAAAATCGAGGGTGAAAAGAGAGGGGGAAAGGGGTGGTAGAGGGATGTATAGAGGGCGGGGGGAGGGGGGGGAGGGAGGGGAAGAGAGAGGGGAGGGAGGGGGGAGGGAGGGGGGGAGAGAGGGGAGGAAGGGGGGAGGGAGGGGGAGAGAGAGGGAATGGAAGGGAAAGGGAGGCGGGAAGGGAGGGGCGAAAGGAGGGGAAGAGAGGGAAAGGGAGGGGGAGTGGGGGGGGGAGGGAGGGGGAAACGGAGGGGGAGAATGGAGGGTGGAAGGGTGTGGGGAGACAGACAGAAAGGCATACAGACAGACACATGTCGGCACAGCCAAGCCCCACCACCTTTCCCATTCCTCTCTCCATTCCCTCCCACTCCCCACCCCTTCCATTCTCCCCATCAGCCTGCCTCCCTCTCCATTCTTCCCTCCACAGCACCAACCCACCCGGCCTCTACGCACGCACCATGCCAGGCCCTTCCGTGCAGGGGCCACCAACAAAACTGAGTATCCTCGCCCCCGTGCCGGGAACACACGCGCCCAGCAGCGCCGTCGCCACGCTCAGCGCCGTGCCCGTGCACCTGGCAGGCCTCTCCCCCAGCGGCACAGGGAACGCGTCCCTGCTCAACTCATCCAGCACCGTCGCCACTGTGAACTCACACTCCTGCGCCGGGAGTAAAAACCGCGCCACTCCCGCTGCCGGCACCCCGTCCCGCATCCCCCCCGCTCCCGCACCCGCCCCCACTCCCCCAGCCCCTCCCGCTCCCCCTGCCCCGCCCGCTCCGCCCCCCGCGGCTCCTGCTGCTCCGCCTGCGGCGCCTGGGCCGGAGAGGCCGAGCTGTTGAACGATCTGCTGGCGGGACACGTCCTTGGTGCCGCGGAAGATGAACATTTTCGGGCAGTCGGAGAAGCCCAGCTCGTGCACGTGCACCTGCGTGCCGTATGTGATCAAGCCTAGCAGCGCGTTCTCAGGGAGTAGACCGATGGCCTGTTTGGAGCCCCGGAGAGGGAAGAGGAGGGGGGAGGGGGGGGGGGGGAGGAGGGAGGGGAAGAGTGGGAGGCGAGGGCGGATGGAATGGGTTTTTTGAATGGATTGGGACGGGAGGGGTAGGTGGAGTGGGGTGGGTGGGCGGGTGCCGGAGCGGGGAGGACAGGTTTAGAGGCGCGGGAGGTGCGCAAAAGCGTGCTGTGTGTGAATGTATGCGCGCGTGGCGATGTTTCCGGCAGGAAACCTTTGGGCTGTTGGGTGGTTATACACGCGCGCGCACACACGCCCACACACGCGCTCACACGCACGCGCCCACCCAGCGACGCACCTGCGAGACGGCGGCCTTGAGGTAGTCCAGCTCCTCCTCTATGAGGCACAGGTCGAGCAGGAAGAGAAAGACGGGGTTCCCCGGCAGGAAACATATGGGCTGTTGGGTGGTTTCACATACACTTGCCCACACGCCCATTCGAGGACGCACCTGCGAGACGGCGGTCTTGAGGTAGCCCAGCTCCTCCTCTATGAGGCACAGGTCGAGCAGGAAGAGGAAGACGGGGTTGACGGGCGGGCCCACCGTGGGCAGCGTGTACTCGATCGTCGTGTACTGCGGAAACAGCTCCGCCGGCAGGTTCGACTCCGAGATCGCCGCGTAGTGCGGTGGAAAGTGGTTGCGCTGCGCGCGGGATTGCGCGTGGGGAGGAGCGGGCGAGGGCGAGGGAGAGGGGGGAGCGAGGAAAGGGGGAGGGGAAAAAGAGAAAGGGGAACAACGATCAGCAAATAGTCTCGGCTTCTCGAAGCGCATTGCGGACTCAATCTGGAACCGAAGGGCTTCAATTGCGCCACATAATACCCAGCGCAATGTCGACTCATTCGAACCCTTCCCCCCAAAAGACCCATTTCAGATGAGCAAGTAATCGGCACAACGGCACCAGCAGCAGCCACTTCGCGAATTCAGGAGCACGTGGACCACCAGCAGCAGCAGCAGCAGCAGCAGCGGCGGCGGCAGCAGCAGCAGCGGCAGCAGTAGTACCTGGTAGCAGAAAGGGCAGATCCACATCTTGCCGATGAAGTCCACGCGCGCGAATGGGTTCAGCACGGAGCGGCACGACTTGCAGCGGATGGGCTCGTACGGAAGCACGGGCATCTCGGGCAGGCGCTTCGCGGGCGTGTAGACCGCCGCGAACGGCACCACGCACTTGGTCGCTTCCACCTTGGAATTCGGCCACACGTTCCACGTCAGCCGCACCGCGTCCACCGCCTCGAGATCCGAGAAATCTGGTGTCGCCATCGGGCCAGCGGATTAGAGACTATCGGGCGAGAGATTGATGCGGGAAAGAGGGGGAGGTGGTGAAAAAACCGACGATCGACGTCAACTAGGGTACGGGCGATGGTTGAAGGCAAACAAGAAAATCGCCTGCTACTGGTTAAAAACAAGGATCTGCTCCAATACAATTTCTTGAGGCGCCTAAACAAGGATCTGCTCAGAATCAATTTAGTTGTGAAATTTGTTGGCTGCGGTAAGCCGTGGTGGGTGGGAGGCACGGCTTTCTCCCTGGTCAGGTCACACTGCACTAGGAGAATAAATTGCTTCCTAGCCTAATAATTGACGGGGAGCGACACAGAATGCGCAGCAAATCTGCTTCGGTAAAAGTCGGTCTGCGCAAGTTAGTGGGTTCAGCCAAGGGTGTGCGTTCCAGCCCAGCGGGAGTCGGGATGCTCAGATTCCGCTGGGGCCAGGGTGAGCGGGTGAACGGGTGAACGCGATCTCCTTGGAGGAGGCGGCGGCAAGAAAAACTGGTTTGGTTTTCGCCTGCGACTAGCCAACGGCTTCAACGGCTGGGCTGCGAGCGTACGACAGCATGCGAGGTCGCAACTGGTGGGTTTGGCGTCGCTTGGGCCGAATTGAGCCGTGGAGCCATCGAGGCAAAATGAGCTTGATGCCTAGACCTTGGGGGGGGCTGGGGAAGTCCAAAGGGCATTCCCAAGGGCGGGAAATTGCAAGAAACACGCAACACGTATGACTACAAGAGGTTCTTATTGTCAGCTTATCTTCACAGGTTGGTACATGAATGAACATTGTTGTCCTTAGGCAAACTTTGCATTATTGGAAACACACTTTGAATTATTGGAAACATCATAACTGCCTACCCTGGCCTACAGATCTCTCTACATTCGTCTTACTTGTTGCAACCATTCCGAAGAGAAGAAAGAGCAGCTGTAAGGCGAGGGGATGGGTTTGCCTGAAGCCCATGCCGCGCATGTCCCGCAACCACTCCAGATGGATTCTGCACTACTCCTTTCTTCTGCACAAAAGTCGCTGCCCCAGCTACTGCTGCTGCTTTTGTTCCCACTTTTTGACACAGACCTTCGCTCGGAGTCGTGCCTGCCTTCAGCATTCCCGGGACACAAGGAGAAGCCTGGCCAGCAGCATGAACAGCAGCCATGGCAGCAGCAACCTTGCCACTTCTGATCCGAGCCAGCACGGCTTTTGGCCCAAGGGAAGAGGGCACAGCAGCCACAGCAGCCCGTGCAGCATCCACCACACCACCAGGCACAGCAGCGAGTGCTTTTGTGACTGCCACGGAGTTGCTAGTTGGATTCGCCTTGGCTGCAGACGTGAGGCTGGATCCAGGGGCAGGTCCAGATTCTACAATTGCTGCCTTGTTGGCCGTGGCGACAGCCCCTTTCCCACCAGGACCAGATGTCTTGATGGTTGCTGCAGCAGCACCGGCAGCAGGAGGGGGAGTTGAATTAGGGGTGGGAGCAGGAGGAGCAGTGGAATCAGCAGTCGCGGTCGCCTTCTTGGTGACTGTGGCAGGTGTGCTGGATTTTGCATTTTTTGTGGTCCTGGTTGCGGAATTGCACGAAGCAACAGCAGCAGCAGCAGAAGGTCTGACTAAAGTTTTTTTCTTCTTGGGCCCAGGTTTTCCCGAAGAAGCTGCGGTAGGAGAAGCAGCAACAGGATGGGGTGGTGCTGCTGCTGCAGCACCACCAGCTGCAGCGGGAGATTTCCGAGAGAGGGCATGAGTAGCAGCAGGCACAGCAACTTGAGTTGAACCACCTGCTGGTGCTGCTGCTGCTGCTGCTGGTGCTGCCGGTGCTGCTGCTGCCGGTGCTGCTCCTGCCGGTGCTGCTGTTGCTGTATTATGCGCACCTGCTGCTGGTGCTGCTGCAGCTGCCGTTTCTGCCACTGCTGCTCCTGTGGCAGCCGCTGCTGGTGCTGGGACTTCTGCGTGGGTGGCAGTGGTGGCTTCTCCACACAGATCGTTGCTGCTGCTGCTGGGTGTGTCCGAATCCATCTGCTCCACCGGCTGTGCCTGCCACAGGGAGGAAATGGAAGCATTGCGAGGGGCAAAGGGACTCAAGCATCCACAGCCGTTGAAGGCTCCAGCAATCTTGAGCGTGAAGGGGTGGGTGAGGAAACGAGGGGAGCAAGGGGATTAGATGACGAGAAATGAAGGGAAAGGAAGCGGGACGGCGAAGGACAAGGGAAGAGGGGTGGAAAGGGGGAAAGGGGAAGAGAGAAGGAGGCTGAGGGGGAAGTTGGTAGGAGATAGAGGCAAGAAGGCGACTGAAGCAACGCTTACAGCAGGCACGGTCTTGACTGGTGAGCCTCCGAAAGGCGAGTCCTCTGCAAGCCATCCAAACACATCCACGTCCAGGAAATTCGCCCCCCCTGCATTACCACAACCTGCCCCATGCATAAAGTAGCTTACATCCTCGTCTCCCCTCTCCCTCGCCTGCTGTCTACCCTGCTCAGCCACTCCCCCGTCTGTTCCTGCCCCTCCTGCTCCCCCTCCCCCTGTGCCACTGGCACTAGGAAGCCCACGGACGGCAGCAGGCAAGGCGGGAGTGGGAGCGCAAGGAGGGTGGGAAGGCAGGGCGAGGTCGAGGACGAAGGAGGAGAGCCCGTGGTCGTCATCACGGAGCAGTGAGTCCGAGAACAAGGCCTCTGCTTCTGCATCCGCCACTACGTCCCCTTGCACACCTGAACCCTGCTCTTCCTCCTTCGTCGTCTCCTCACCTTGCGCTCCCCCCTCCGCTCCCCCCTTTCCTTCCATGGTTGCTTCGCGTGATCCAGTTTCCACTTCCGTCAGGGGAGAAGGAGCAGCAGCAGCAGTGTGAGGGTCAGGCGAAGGTTCAGCAGCAGCAGTAGCATTGAGAAGGAAAGCAGCAGCGGCGTTGGCAGCAGCCGCAGCACCGGCGGTAGGTATGGTGGCAGACACAGAGGCGACAGGAGTGCGGTGAACAGGAGCAACATCCCTACCAGCACCACCGCCACTGCTGCAGTTATTGCAGTCGATGCGGTTACTGTTCTCACCACCGTTTCTGCTGTTACCGCTGTTACAGCTAGTGCCACCAGCAAGAGCATCGGCTCCCTTCTTGTCAGGATGCATCGCAATGGTGAGATTCCACTGCCTCTTCACCGCAATATGTTCTGCTGGACCTGCGGGGATGGCAGATGACGCAGCAGCAGCGGCGGCGACGCCACCATCAGTGCCATTCCCAGCAAGGGCGGTGGCCAAGGGAGCGGCAGTAGCGCATTCAGCAGCTTGGGCTAGGCTGGACTGACGGTGCTCAGTGCATGAGACAGCTTGCGAGGACGACGGACCCGTGCTGTTGCTATTGCTATTGCTATTGCTGGTAGTGGTCGTGGTCGTGGTGGGAGTGGTTGGAGCTGGGTGCAGTGGTGGCAGCGCGGAGAAGGAAGGGCCCTTGGCGCTCTCCATCACCAATGCCTCTAGCTCTTGCAGACTGCCCATGCCTCCACTCCCACAACTGCCATCGTCGCCAGTATCAACAGCACCAGCACCACCGCCAGCACCAGCAGCAAAGGAAGCATCCGTAGAGGCCACCACGGCAGCATCAGCGGCAGTGGCAGCAGCAGCGGAAGCAGCCATGGCAGCAGCAGGGGCAGTGGCAGGAGCAGCAGCCGGCGCTGGTACAACTGTGTTGCTGCTGGCAGGAACACCCAGGAGAGGAGTTGAGTGGTGGTGGTATGCTTGTGAGGCACAGTGGAAGGATTGCGATGATGTTAACAATGATGATGACGGGTGTGGGAACACGTGCTGGGGTTGAGGCGTGCCTTGGGCCGCTTGCACCCATGTTCCCTGTTGTAGAGGAGAGCAGGGAGAGATTCGGGGTGGAGAGGGGAGGGGAGGGGAAAGGGGAGGGGGAGAGTTGTGACTGAGAGAATGAGGAAGAGGTCGGAGGAATGATGGCAGGAAATACCAGATTTGTGCAAGGTGCATGGTGCACGGTGCATGGTGCATGGGGTTGGCAAGCTGCAAGCTGCAAGCTGCAGGGTGCAGGCAGTTACCTGGGGTGTGCACCACATGGATGGCGAGGATGCCCCATAGCCCCCTGCTGCTGCTGATCCAGCAGGAAACGCCATGCTCATGCCCATGCCCATGCCCATGCCCATGTCAAAGCTCGACCGTCCTTCAAACACAGCCATCTGCGGCTGCTGGTAGTGAAACGTGGGTGCCTGAGGCTGGTTCATCGGTGCTGCTGCCGGCACCATCCCCCACCCTCCCTGCTGCTGCTGCTGCTGCTGCACAGGCACGCCCATGGCTGTTGCCCCAACCGCCCCTCCACCCGCAACCCCCATGCTCATATCCATACCCATTCCCATTCCTACTCCCATGCCCATACTCATCCCCATTCCCAAGTTCATGTTTACGCCCATGCCCATGCTGCCGCTGTTCATTGGAAACACTGCTCTTGCTCCAGACCAACCAGTAATCCCTCCCATCCCCATTCCACCCTGTTCGGTAATAGCCATCCCATTGGCAGCCATCCCAACGCCATTAGCTGGCATGCCGTGAGAAATGGCACCGCCCATGCCACCCATGGTCATGGTGCCTGCGCCCAAAGCCCCTGGCCCTGCCATCAGTGGCATTCCCAAAGGCACCGGCTGACTGGCACAAAAGAAACCACCGGAAGCAGCAGCAGCAAGAGATGGTGCGAAGGGCGAGGAGTAGGAGGAATAGGAGGGGCAGGAGGGGTAGGAAGGGTAGGAGGACGGGTAGGAGGGCGGGTAGGCGGAGGGGTAGGAGGAAGGGTAGGAAGGCTGGCAGGAAAAGGGAGCAGGCATGATGGTTTTGAGTCCCTTGCTGCTGCTGGCTCTGGCGGCTTGCAGTGACCGCAAGGGCGGGTGACACGAGGCCACGGAGGGAGCAGCAGATGCTGCTGGAGCAGAAGTTGCTGGCGCCACCGTTGCTGCCGCCGCCGCCGCTGCTGCTGCTGCTGCTGCTGCTGCTGTTGCTGTTGCAGCGTTTGCACGTG